GCCGTTTTTTGATTTTCGTTTTAAAAAAAAACTAAAATTTAAATTCAAAAGCGTTGTTTTGATTTTTGTTTTTGAATTTTAAAACGAAAACCAAAAAACAACTCGTTTTTCTTTTTAATGGTGAAAAACGAAAAAGCAAAATTCAAAAATCCTTTGATTTTTCTTTCTTTATTTCCAATAACAAAAAATAAAACCACCAGAAGGAATAAAGAATTGTTTTTTTTTTCATTCCGAAACCAGATAGAACGACTCATGCACAGTGACGCAATGCTGACCTGCTCGCCTTCTATAGGCTATTATTTTTTTTTACTTAATTATGTTATAAAAGATATTTTCTTGCTATAACGGGATTTTGTTAAGACTTATTTTACTCATTAAGGCAACATATTTCTCGTATAAGGGCCGGTAATCGAATATATTTATGTTTTGTTAGCATGTTTTACATGAAACAACCTTTATGTTGACATTACATAAAAGCAGGACCGGTAGAACTCCCGGTGGGCCGGTCCGTTTTTTTTTGGCCGTGAGGGCTGGTGTCCCTAGCTGCTGGCACTTTTTTCATTAATTTATTTATTTGACCATAGCCTCACTCTTTTTATTCATTATTTTGCCGCAGCTTTGCTCTTTTTATTTATTTTCTCACAGCCCCGTGAGCAAAATGCAGCCTGCAGGTTAATGATGATGATATCATTCGACTCCAAAAAGAGGCACCTTAGTAAATAAAAAAAATTTGAATAATTAATATGAATGAATATTACACCTGCTCAAAGAAATCAGATGATTCACTACATTAATAAATCTTACGTAACTTGATCAGAAATCTAAAAAGGGGAGGAAAAAGATCAAGTCATCAGTAGCAGCAGATAACAGTGCAATACTTATTCTTTATCCCAAACGCACCAGCTTAACAGCGCCATCGTGGTCTAGTGGTTAGCACGATTCGTTACGACGCTGCTGACCCAAGTTTGAACCTCATCTGAATAAATTATTATCTGTATATATATATTTTTTTTTCAATTTTAGTGTTAGGACATGTAATACCTTTTGGGTTACTTATGTAAGCATGAAAGCATAAGGTTGCTTTCCTGAACACTTTTCTGAAAAGAAAGTTTTAATATTGTTAAAACCATAATACTTCCGCTTCCCGAAGTTTAATCACAAGTCATTTCAAGTGAGGGAGGCATTAATACAGTTGTTCGTTATGCACATTTCAATAAGCCATAGTATTTTAAAATAAAAATGAACAATTAATTTTATCTGAAAGGAGGCATGCTGCACAAACATCCCGTGTCTTTTAAAAACACTTCCCGAAGTGGAAGTGATTTTAACAATAAACTTTATTTTCAGAAAACTATTCAGCAATGCAAATAATGCATATATCCTCAATTATGTTGTTCCATATAAACGGCTTTAATGAGGAAAATATGTCTTAACGTTATTACAAGAAAATGTCTTTTATACCATTATTATGTGGGAAAAATAATAGCCTATAGTAGGCGAGAAGGTCAGCATTGCGTCACTGTGAATGAGTCGGCCTGTCTGGTTTCAGAATAAAAACAAAACAAGCCTTTATTCGTTTTTGTTTTCTGGTGATTTTACTTTTGTTATTGGAAATCACAAATCATTTTTGAATTTTGCTTTTCCGCTTTTCACCATGAAAAAGAAAACAAGCCGTTGTTTTGATTTTCGTCTTAAAGTTCAAAAACAAAAATCAAAAAAACGCTTTGAATTTCAATTTTCGTTTTTTTTATTTTATTTTAAAATGAAAATCCAAAAACGACTCGTTTTTTGTTTGTCCAATATCCGTTTCTCAAATGAAAATCCAATGACCAAAGCATACACAATCATGGTATCTTCCGTTTAATACCCTGATTATACACTGACCGATGTCCCATCCCTGAACAAACTGCTTGAATAAGCTCAGTTACAGCACATTATACAGTATATTAAATATTAAATGCAGCATTTATTGTAAGTAACGGTATTGTAACAAAGAAAAAAGTCGTTTGTTTGATAACTTGTTACTGACAAAAGTAACTTTGTTAGTAGCAGTGTTTATTTATAATGTTGTTATTCCCATCACTTGTGTTAATTGATTTCAGGGGGATTTAACGTTTTGTCATCGTTTTTTTTTTTTTTCTCATCCAGGCCTACCCAGAGTATCTCATCACCTATCAGATAATGAAGCCGGACAGCACGCCTCAGTCCTCCACAGGAGCGGAGCAGAAATCATAGTCAGCAACACTGCATTCACTCACTCACTCATTGACTCACTCACTCATTCTTTCTCACTCTCTCGTTGCACAAAGGAAATGTGAACTTTCCCATGTACCCACGTCTTACCCATGAAATTCCCCATGTATGAATTATGAATTTGCACTTTTAAAAGAAACAAAACAAGTTACTTAAGTTATTTGAAAATAGTCGCAATTGTGAAGTCTAATGTACAGGTAGTATAAAGAAAACGTGTAAAACTGACTGTGTTTAACGATGCTATTTGAGTTGTATTTTAATGGAACTTTGTTTTTTTGCTTTTTGTTTTGGAGTCTGTTAAATTTCTTTTAAATAAATCTCATCAGAACAGGACTCATTCATAGGACTTGCCTTTTATTGGTTATTCATTGTAGCGAAATAGCTCAAAGTTAAACTGCCCATGCGTTCTCCACCAGTAATAATTAGCTCAAAAAGAAGAAGAAGATTCATTTGAACGGGGCTTCAAAGGAATCGACTCTTTAAATCCAAAAAAACAAATCGTCCAGCGGTCGTTCGAACAGACAGTTGACTTTAATTACGGCTATTGCTATCAAAATGAAAACCCATTTATGTTTATGCTGGGTAGCATGATCAAAGTTTAAGACATTCGATTCATAAATATGCACAGGCACCTTTCTTTATACAAAATGAAACTATTGACTATCTAAAACAAACACGCATTCATACAGGTGTAGAGAAGAGTAAAGAAAGTAAAATAACAGGTTGAGAGAATGTAATGATGGAAAACCTCGGATTTTGTTAGACCAAACCAAGCCAAACAAAATTAATCAATTTAACCCTTCTATGGTCTCTTTAGGGTTGCATTTAGTTCACACCAGTTCAGATGGAAGTGTTACATGTGTTCCGATGTGATGTGAAGAAGCTCCCTCTGTTGAGCATGTGGCTGGCTGGTTGTTCTTTGTCCTCACGAGGCTTGGAGTGGGTTGGAGTCGGTCGTCTCAAGTTTGAATCGGCAACAGTTGTGATGACTACTGGTTTGCGGCGCACTAAACTTAACTAGACTCTCGGTGGAAAATCAAGAAAAGAAGCTATCAGAGATGGGAATGTCTGAGCCGTGCGATTAAACCATTTCGTCTGGGTCCCCGCCTGCTCCCTGGAGTCCTCTGGGTTCAAGCCTTTCTCTGGCCTGAGGTTTCTGGGTCTCTGGGGTTTCTGCTTTCTTGGGGGTTTCATCAGTCCTCGTCACTACCGGTGTGCCCCAGGGTTCAGTTTTGGGTCCGCTTCTATTTATCATCTATCTTCTTCCACTTGGTTATATTTAGCTGTTATTCTCACCAAGGCTGCAGCTATTTCATTGCTGTAAAACGGTCATATTTTGCATTATTATTATGGTTTAAAGAGTCGACGTGATCACAAAACTGAATTTTCATATTCTTTCACGCTTATTTTCAGTTCTTTTTTCCAAAATTTTAAACCATGCTTTGGAGATTATTATATAATATAAATATATAAATAGCCAATAGAGAAAGATCCAAATTTAAATAATAGCTATAAAGACCCAATTTATACTGTGGAAAATGCTATATATATATATATATATATATATATATATATATATATATATATATATATATATATATATACACAACAGTTCTGTCTGGTTCTCAAATCTGATTGGCTGATAGCCGTGCGATATTCTGCAATATCAGAACTCCTACAGCCTCTTTACCCTTTGTGTATTACTCCGCCGACATTCAGCCAGCAAAAAGCAGACACTACAGACATAAAATGTAAAAGATGCACGCTTATTAAATATTATTTCTATTTTTAGTTACATTTATTTATTTTATATTTATTTGTTTATTATTATTATTATTTACGTATTTCCATGAACTCGATAGGGTTTCTGTGCCTCCTGGACCCCAAACCCCTGTGTGTGTGTGTGTATGTATGTATGTATGTATATATATTTTTATTTATTTATATATATAAAAAAATTAAATTTTTTTTTAAAATATTTTTTTAAAGATTTTTTTTCTACTGTTAATGTATTTACACATTCATTAATTTTAATTTATATTTAATCCAAATTCAGACAGACATTTAGATTTATTATTGTTATTATTATTAATGATGCTTGATTTGGTTTATTTTAGTTTTCGTTTACTTTATTAATTGAATATTATTTCTGTTTTTATTAGCATTTATCTATTTTAGTTTTTATTTATTTATTATTATTTTTTATTTTTTATTTTTTTTTTTTACTTTAAACATTTTCACAGACCTCCTAGGCTTTCTGTGCCTCCTGGACCCCAAACCCCTGTATATATATTATTCTAATTTTTTTTATCATTTCATTTTAAAGTATATATTAATATTTCTAAGATTTATTTTCTTCTGTTAATGTATTTACACGTTCATTAATTTTAATTTATATTTAATCCAAATTCATATGAATAATTATTTTAATGCAGTTTTTATTTGTATTTTTTTTTCAAACTAATGTTTATTTATTTATTTTAATAAAATGCTTGTTTTTTTGTTTACTTTATTAATTAAATATGTATATTTATTTACATTTGTTTATTTTATATTTATTAATTATGCTTCATTTGTTTTATTTTAGTTTTTGTTTGCTTTAATAATTGAATATTATTTCTGTTTTTATTAACATTTCTTAATTTAAGTTTATATTTATTTATTATTATTATTAATAATAATAATAATTATTATTATTCGTTTTCACAGACCCCCTAGGCTTTCTGTGCCTCCCGGACCCCAAACCCCTGCTCTAAATGATAAGACAGAAACTTGATTACTAATATTTAATATTTCCATGATTTTTTCACTCAACACCAGTCCAAACATTAGTTTGAGAACAAAAAAAGCATACATTTAAAATATTATAAAAACATTAAACAATCTATTAAATTCAAGTTTGATTCACAATCAAGTCATGTTTTATGTGATAGCTGAAAGTGATGATTGGGCTCCAGAAAGATGCTCCTCATCCAACAGCAATGGCTGTGGTTTGGGGTCTGGCTGTCGGGGAGACTGTGGTGGGACTCGGGACTCTGTCCACTACGATAATGGGGGGTTGCACTGCCACAGATGGCCTGAAGGGGAATAAGCGTGGACCAGGGTGTGGATATCGATGTAGATATGGATATCGATGTAGATGTGGATGCAGATATGGGGGTAGATAGGGATTTGGATACCGAAATGGGTAGAAATCAGGTGAATATGGGCGTATGATACTTGGAGAAATGTTGGGCGTAAGTTGCATTCCAGGAAACTGATCCGTAGGCATGAGGAAAACAAATGGAAAGCCTGATTGACCTGGACGCATTGGTTGATATAAGTCCTGAAAACACAATATATTGACTGATTAACAGAGTTTAGGTAAACCAATGTATATTTTACATACAGGTGTATATAAAGTGTATTAAATTAAGTTTGCCTATTTTTTCACACTCAGGCAAAACAACATATCATGCATAGGAAAAGAAAACTCCACTGGCTTTCATTTTAAAAACCAAAATGTACTAAGCAAGTAAATTTTTTCATCACTGATCAAAATGTTTTTTTGTGTTCAACAGTAGAAAGAAATGTAAACAGGTTTGGAACTAGTGGAGGGTGAGTAAATGATGACAGAATTTTCATTTTTAGGTGAATTATTACTTCAACAAAACCATATTAACTGTTTATTATAGCTAATCAAGACAAATCCTTCTTGAAATCACAGAAACCAGACATTAGTGCTAATGGTTTCCATTGCAATTACCATTCCAACTGCACAATCAAATCTGAGCCATCAAAACCAATAGATTTTACATACTTCCCTGTTCAAATAGTTGGGTTAAAAATACTCCAACATAAAACCCAACTATAGGTTATTATAACACCTTCCCAACTATGGGTTATTGTAACCCAAAGGGATTAGGTTATATAATTAACCCAATGCATTAGGTCATTTTGAATAAATGTAATTTTTTCCGATCTGGTACTATCGCTACTATGACTAGTACTACTAATAATTTTATAATTATGGCTGTGTAAATAAATAACATGCAGTTTTTAAAAATATTGAAAAGGCTTTATTTCCATTACATTTTAGTTCAAGATACTTGAGGGTTTTTATCCGTTTAATATAGATCGGCTATGAAGCGTGCGCGTGCATCATCAGTAATAAGAGTGCTGGTGAAATAAATAGAAAAAACACGACACAGAGAGGTCATTGGATAAAAAAATAACAATATTTTTGCGTTATAGCTTAATAACTTTATAATGCAAAAACAACATTACGTATGAATGTTAATCAGTTAAGTTTGTTGAAATTTAAAGTTTGTAACCCAACTGGTTGAGTTATTAAACAAATAATCTAAAAAGGTAAAAAAAAAAAACAACAACAAATAACCAAATATTTTTAACTCAACCATTGGGCTAAAAAAATAACTCCAACGTTTTTTTTAAGAGTTTTTTTTTTTGAGTGTGTGTTTTAGCCAGCCTGATCCCACAAGAAATCGTAAGTAATTTACGTTTTGTCAGTTTAGTGGCTAATAAGTATGAATCTGTATGAGTTTAGTCGTATAAAATTGTACGATTTTAAAAAGGAGGCGTGGCACCTAACCCCACCCCTAAACCCAAACGTCTTTGGGGGAAGAGCAAATCGTACTAAATTGTACAAATTAGATTGAATTCATACGAATTAGCCACTAAGTACAAAAGTTACGAATTGCCGTGAGATTGCATTGGTTTTGGCACACATCCCTGTTTAAAAAAAAATCTGCTTAAACTAGCCTAAGCTGGTTGGCTGGTTTTAGCCGGTCGAGGGGTTTTGGGAGCCGTTAAACAAAGGAGCCTTGTTTAAGCTGGACATAGCTGGTTTTGGATATGCTCCCAGCCTAGCTATGCTGGTCAAGCTAGTTGGTCATTTCCAAGCCTGACCAGCTAAAACCAGGCTGAAATGGCCACAACCACTCTAAAAACAGGCTGGTCGACCAGCTTTTTTTCCAGCAGGAATTCTATTAAGATTAGTTGGTTACATGCCACTAATAGCAAAAAAACAAAAACAACAAATACATTGGTTCAATTAAAACACCATTTCAATGTTTTTTTTTTACCTCAGCAGGGATGACAGAGGTGAGAAACATCATCTAATCATAGCAACATTTTTGAACAGTCTTTAAATCACAAGCGTTGAGGTAATTAAACCACATTTATTAAAAGTTTGACTACGAAGTAGTTGGCTAGAATTTATGGAGGCATGTGACTAGCATAATTCATTTCGAAATGTAATATGCAAAATGGCAATGCAATATGTTAAATGGTGATGTATTCCTGCATTTCAATTTGCATTTTCCAAGACATATCTGCAATGTTTGGTGCAGAATTAAAATTCAACTACATCGTTTGGATTTCTCATTTCAAACACGGTTTTAATATGGAAATTGTCAAATTTAACAGACAGCCTATGAGGTGGGGTGTCGATTTTCAAAAAGCGATTTATACATAAAAATGATTCTTTGATAATATTTATTTCCTTTGCATTTTCCCTGAACAAGCCTAGATTTGGAAGTGATTACCTCTATACTCATATCTCTAGTCCTCCTGCTCCTGGTTTCCTTCACCTATATAAAAACAGACATAATCCATTCAGTCTTATATACGTTATTTTTGCGTTATATAATATTTTATTAACTCACTGGAGCAGCCAGATTGAGACAGACTGCAGTCAGGAGATAGTAAACGAAGATTAAAGTTGCCATAGCTGATTCTGCCCTGCAAAATTTGATCCGTGATCCCGAAGGCAAGTAAACATATAAATGTTTTCACATATAGATTACTATTTTCACTTACCTGATTCTCGTTTTCACATCCCAACAACTTCTGCTGTTAATACTATGCTATTCCACAAGCTTTAGTTTTTATACGGCAACCTTTTGTCATTCACCCAATAAAACTTGTGGTAATTACCCATAATTGCGTGCTGTGGATTTGATAATTTGGCTTTTAATCTTTTAAATTGCTCTAGATGGTTTTAAATTAATTAAAGAGTTTGAGAGCTGGAGAAATCCCTCGCCACACTGATCTGTGACACCTCCCTCAAGTATCTGCAACATTTCACAATCATTTTTTGATGAACAAACTTTGTATAAGGCTTAGCAGATTGAATATAGTACAAAACAGAGTGATATATCTATACAAAACGCTCAAAAATGGCTTAAAATAACATGTTTATGGGTGTATTTTCTACCAAAACCGCTTATTATCAAACCGCGACGCCATTATATTTTCCTTAAAGGGGCAGTTCACCTCAAAATACGAAATCTGTCATAAATTACTCCTACATACCTGTTTGAGGTTACTATAACACAGATTGAGATATACTTGAAGTTATATATAATAAATGAAGATACATTAATATCGACTTCCATAATAAATGTATCCTGTGAATATCAATAGGTGCATTTTCCCGCCATTTTGTCAGAATATCTTGTTTCAGACTCAGACTCAGACTCAGACTCAGCTTTATTATCCCGTTAGGGAAACTAAATTGCAACAAGGTACCATACACAGGCGAAGTTCCATGTACACATTAAAAAATAAAAATAAAAAAATACTACTATACAACATCCATACATCAATATATAGAAACATCCCCCTCCCCCCTGGACTCATTTAATGACCTAATGGCCACCATTATAAAAGAATTTCTGGTTCTATTTGTCCTGCAAATAGGAACCCTAAAACGACGTCCTGATGGCAACAGCTGAAATACAGAGTACAGTGGGTGATCCGGGGTGCATAGGATACCCTGAGCTCTCCTTATTACATGATTTTGGTAGATTACCATTAGACCAGTCTGATTAAAACCAATGATCTTGCCTGCCACCTTCACCAGGCTGCTCAACCTGTTCTTGCTTGACACACTCAGATTGCCGTACCAAGCTACAATGCAAAAAGATAAAACAGATTCGATAAATTGTTTATAAAACAGCGTCATCATAGAGGTAGAAACCTGAAATGATCTAAGTTTCCTCAGAAAAAACAGTCTTTGTTGGACTTTTTTATATACAGCCTGGGTGTTAGGTTGAAATGTCAACATATTATCAATAACAACCCCTAGATATTTATGTGTGTCAACAATTTCAATGTCCAAGCCTTTAATATTAGTTATGTTTGGGGTTGGAGAAGCCTTCCTGTAATCTATCACCATATCTTTTGTTTTACTTGCATTCAACTGGAGAGAAAATCTATCACACCAGGAAGTAAACTCCTGCACAGCAGGACCATGCCCCAAATCCTGATCGTGGAGGAGACTTACAATCACAGAATCATCTGCATATTTAATGATATGACAATCCCTGTGAATACTACGACAGTCATTAGTATACATGATGAACAAAAGAGGTGAGAGGCAGCAACCTTGAGGTGACCCAGTGGAACAAAACTGGAAGTCAGAAAGAGCACCATTAACTCTGACACACTGTTGACGTCCAACTAAAAAATCAAGAATCCATCCACAAATATTAAGATCCAAGTTAAAAAGAGAAATTAATTTCTCCACCAACAAATGTGGCTTCATAGTATTAAAAGCAGAAGAGAAATCAATAAACAACAATCTGGCATGAGTCTTAGGCTTTTCCAGGTGATTAAACAGGTAATTTAACATTGTAAGATTGGCATCTTCAACTCCCCTGCTCTGTCTAAAAGCAAACTGCAATGGATCAAATTTATCCTTTGACTGCAATAAAATCTCACCTTTAATAAATCTCTCAAAACACTTCATGACTAATGAAGTAAGAGCAACAGGTCTAAAATCATTTAACTCTCGGGGAAACTTGGTTTTAGCTATAGGAACAATAACAGATTTCTTCCAGATTTCAGGGACCCTTTGTAGCATAAGAGACTGTGAAAAAATGTAATGAAATATTTCAGAAAGCTGTTCCGCACACGTATGTAGCACCCTACCACCAATATTGTCAGGACCCGGGCTTTTTTTAGTATTAGTTCTCTGAAGGAGGCCTTTGACCTGAATTCTACTAATGTTTACGGAGTTACTACATGACAGATGTTGTTTTAAATTGTCATTTTCTGACTTAAAATCATCCTCATCAAACCTTAAGTAAAATGTATTTAGTTCCTCAGCAAACTCTCTCGCAGAACTAAAACCATTTAAATTGATTTCACTGCCCCCTCTATCTTCTTTACACCCAGCCATTGCCTTCACCCCTTGCCAGGCTGATCTTAAATTATTACTGCTCAGCTGATTCTCAATTTTGTCCTTATACCTAATTTTATCCTTGTTTATTTGCACTCTCACTGCCTTTTTTAATTGCTTAACTGAGCTCATATCACCCTGTTTAAAATATTTATGTTTACTTTGCAGGAGAGATTTTGTGTCATTTGACAGCCAAGGTTTGTTATTTGGAAAGTCAATAACAGTTTTGTGAGGGATAATCATATCTGTGCAAAAAGATATGTAATCACACACTACTTCTGTAAGTTCATCAATACTTTCAGATGTCTCTTTAAAAACGGACCAGTCTGTACAATCGAAACAACCCTGAAGGGCCAGTGAATTGTCCTCTGACCATACTTTAATTTCCCTCTTCCGCACCTTCTCCCTCCTCAGCACAGATTTATATACTGGGAGGAGGTGTACCACGTTATGATCAGAGAAGCCGACTGGTGGACCCGCTACAGCTTTCATTGCCCCTTTAATCGATCCATAACAGAGGTCCAATATCTTATCATATCTTGTATGACAATTTACATACTGATAAAAGTCACACAAAGTTTTCCTGAGATCACAGTTATTAAAATCCCCAAGAACAAAGTTCGGAGCATCCGGTGAAATTTGTTTCAAGTTTGATAAGACTTTACTAAGAGTACCTGCGACATTTATACTATTTGCTTTCGGAGGTATATAAACCACAGTAATAAAAACCTGTGGGAATTCCCTTGGCAGATAAAAAGGTCTTAATGACACAGACAGCAGTTCTATATCTGGAGAGCATACTCTTTCTCTCACTGTCACGTTTGTGCACCATCCTCGATTGATGTAGAGACAGACACCACCGCCCCGATTTTTACCCGTTACCTCACAGTCCCGATCCAGCCGAACCGGCGCATCAAACCCGTCTAATGCCAGTGAGGAGTCCGTATCCTTTGTAGTAAGCCATGTCTCGGTCAGTGCCAAGATGCAAGCATTTTTATACTCTCGAAGATGACGAATGTTAGCCTGTAATTCATCGATCTTATTTTTCAGGGATTGCACGTTCGCCAGAAGTATAGTTGGAAGTGGAATGCGATTCTTTTTCAGCAGGTTTTTAATTCGCACTCGTACACCTCCCTTTTTTCCTCGTTTTTTAAGCCGTGGTTTCCTCGAGGGCCTCTTCTCAACAAGGCTATTCATCCGTCTTTGTGAGCCCAAGTCCAGCCCGGGGTGATCAAGTAGACAGTCCAAACTATAATCCACTGGCTCAACCAAATTGCGCTGCATCCCTCTGAGTCCGAGCAGGAACTCTCGAGAATACCTCAGCCTGTTTGTTGTGTGAGGCCATTGACACAACACTACGCCAATAGTATACAGCCAGATGATCATAAAATACACATCCATCTTCCTACATAGGGATGTCTCTTCCCAAGGGTTTAAGAGTCATTAAAATTAATCCTTAAAATCACTAAACTAAGCAAAACTTTAAACTTGTATAAGCTTGTATAAAGGAGAATACATGGAACAACTCGTGCTGCAACACCTTCTGCTGGTCGCCACTAGAGCAGCGCCCCCTCCTCCCTTGTAATATCTTGTTTCCTTGTTAACAGAAGAAATAAATTCCTAAATGTGTACAACCAAGTGAGTGTGTGTAAGTAAATAACAAGGACTTTAATTTCTGGGTGAATTATCACTTTAAAGAGCATCAAAACCTAATAAAATAGCTATTATTAACCGATGATCATGTTTAATGTTTGATTTCAGGTGTGTTTCCAGGGTGTTTTCCTCTAATTCTCCTCCCACAGTGAGTCAGTCGACTTGTTTGTGTGTCGTTTATATCTCTGCTCAATATATCTAAAGGACAAGACACTTGCGTAACATACCGAGACATGTAGTATTGCGCTACACACACATTGCATCATGTAATAATGATATTAAAACACATTTGGAAACCCATAACCGGGGTTTAATTATAAGGTATAGCAGTTTTTAGTGGTAAATGTGTTTAATATTGAGACATTCTGCAATTTTAGGGGACATTTGAAAAACAAACAGCACCGCTGATTGGATGAATCCCAATTTCTACAATGCTCAAAGGCCTTAAAAGCATCTTCAGCACCATCAATACACAAATCTTAGGGAGCTTCGCTTCAGCTTTTTACAAGAGATTTTGAGGTAAGGTATTTATCATTTTCTATGCATGTTATTATAATGTTGCTGATCACATTGGGAAAAATAAAATTTATTTAACAATAGAGTTTAATTGGCATTTAAGGTCAAAATATTAATGCAAAATGTGTGTTTTGTTTGTTAAATAGCTTCTGTATTTAAAAGCTTTCACATGCATAATATCGATATTTTATTGCAGACGATAGTTTGATAATCAGATGGAAACATTCAATAAATGAATGAAAAATATGTTATTAATCAGATCAGTTACAAACAAAATTAATTTAATAAATACTTTTAATAAAAAGGAAAAATTAACACATTTATAATAATGTAAATAAATTAAGGTGCTTTTTTAATAGCAACCTTTGCGTTTAGAAATTATTTTTGCATTATTAATATATACAGTTGAAGTCAGAATTATTAGCTCCCCTTTGAATTTTTTCCTTTTCAATATTTCCCAGATGATGTTTAGCAAGGACATTTTCACAGTATGTCTGATAATATTTTTTCTTCTGGAATAAGTCTTATTTGTTTTATTTCAACTAGAAAAAAAAGCAGTTTTTAAATTTTTAAGAACCATTTTAAGGTCAATATTATTAGCCCCTTTAGAACTATATATTATTTTGATATATAGTCTACAGAACAAACCATCGTTATCGTTACTTGCCTAATTACCCTAATCTGCCTAGTTAACCTAGTTAAGGCTTTAAATGTCACTTTAAGCGTTATAGAAGTGTCTGGAAAAATGTCTAGTCAAATATTATTTACTGTCATCATGACAAAGATCAAATAAATCAGTTAGTAGAAATGAGTTTTTAAAACTGTTATGTTTAGAAATGTGTTGAAAACATCTTCTCTCTGTCAAACAGAAATTGGGGAAATAAATAAACGAGGGCTAATATTTCTGATTTCAACTGTATATATATTTATACAACAGTTCTGTCTGGTTCTTGATTCTGATTAGGCTGATAGCCTTTGATGTTCTGCAATAACAGCTGTAAGAATGGGTTTTAACCACAGCGGTTTGAACTGTAGTTCTGCCAAATGACTAAAAAGCATGATGGTAAAAAAAACTGTACATTTCTAGTCAAACC